ACAGCAGGTGCAGGGACGCGGAGGAGGAGCAGACCACAAGCAGCCAGACTGAGGACAGCCGGGCCACGCGCACGAGCAACACGTGAGCAGAAGCGACCCCTCCAGAACAACGCATGGATTTGCCTCCGATTGGCAGTCAAGGTATTTGACAGAAAACCTATGAGATGGCATCACTGTGACATCATCCATAGACATAATCTTTTTACTTTCGAAAACTTTATACATTTTAGTATTCTGAAATTGGTTTTTAAATGTTTGAACAGTCGTGTGTCGCCGCTGTTTTCCGCTCTCATTATTCGGCGTCAGGACTCCCGCAGACCCTCCACCAGAGCCTCGGTGAGTGGGGACTGTGTTCTCCCAAAATTTACAAAATCTTTTGGACAGTCCAGTTTCTCTTTTAATGGATCCAGACTGTGGAACTCTCTGCCCACTGATTTAAAACTGCAGACTGACATGAACAGTTTTTACAGAGGTCTGAAACAATGGCTGAAGTCAAGTCAAAACTGCTCACATGGTAACACTGTATGAAATGTATACTGATGATGTGTTATTGTGTATTGTTTACCTTTTTAAATATTGTACTGTATTGTATTGTGTTTTTTGAAATGTGTAGCCTCCTATGGACAGGTGTTACAAATTAGCAGTTTTGCTATAACACTGGAAACAATGTATCTGGTTTGTCCAATGCAGTTGATATGTCCATATCAAATAAACTAATAAAAAAAAAAAAAAAAAAAAAATTGCGAACAGGTGCGTTAGCGACATGCACCTTGCAGACTTCAGAAGCTTGCAGACTTCAGAAGGCCGGGAAGTGGGCGTCTCCGGCTTTTAACTTGCTGTCCTGGTGGTTATTGGTGGATTAGATGTGGGCGTTTTGCTGGTGTAATGAGTAGAGGATGAGCAGGCTTGTAGATCTGGCAGCAGCGCCGGGTCTACCACAGTGAATTTTCGCGAAGAGCTCCATAACATTTGTTCGGGGGTATCCAAACTGAGCCAACTTGTCTTGGGAGAATGGTAATTTTGCCGTTTTGCGAATTCCCACATATCATCTCAAACAAAAACAATGGGATCACTCTTATCTTACCAAAAACATCTTTTAAACCAGTGTTCTCTTCCGTAACACTCTGTAACTGTTCTGTTGGTCTGGATAAGATTCTGATTAAACACAAAAAACAACTACATAACAATGATTCATTCGTGCTCAATGTTAGATAACACTAAAACAGCCCTCTTCAGTACAGTATAATGATTGGCACATTTGATTGAAGGTTTAAATCTGAAAGTGCATCTAAACAAACATTGTCAAGTTTTGAGGACATTTCTCATTGTGCGTATTGAACTAATCATTATAAAAGGATGTTTTCATTTTCTCTTATTATTGCCATCTTAATAACATTTAAACACGGACATAATGTGGACCTCAACTATTACAGCAACACAAAGGATATGGGAGATGCTGAACATTTTATATATTTACACTGGAACTCCCAGAGCAGTCGATTTGACAGATTTTCCTTTTTCTTTTGGTCTTCATACCTTTGTGACTTTTTCTGCACTTCATATCTGTGTAATTATGTTTTTGAAATGATCTTGGTTCAGAGCCATCTCAGCTTGGAGTGAGTGCTAGTTACCATAGCAACACAATAGTAAGCAATACGTTTTGCAGTAATAATGTGTATGCTTTTAGACATATGTATTTATGTCTATGTATATGTGTTTGTATGTGTGGATATATGTACTGTGTATATGTATGTATATATACATGTTTATATGTATATGTGTGTGTATGTGTATCTGTTTATACAGATACACATACAGATACACTCAGCCACACATACAGATACACTCAGCCACCTGTATGTGGCTGAGTGGATAGCACTCTCGCCTCTCAGCAAGAAGGTCCTGGGTTCGAATCCCGGTCAGACCAGGGCCTTTCTGAGTGGAGTTTGCATGTTCTCCCCGTGTCTGCGTAGGTTTCCTCCGGGTACTCCGGTTTCCCCTACCACTAAAAATATGTCCAATAGGCATGTCTGGCATGCGCCTCCTGTACCGGCTCCACTCCCATCTCTGTGTGGAGTGAGAGACAAATGCCCAAAAATAACAATTGTAAACCGCTTTGAGACTCAGATCTGCAGTGAAAAGGCGGTATATAAATAAAGATTACTTACTACTTACTACTACTACTACTACTATATGCATGTATGTATGTATGAATATATACATTCACTTATTAAATGATAACTACTGTATCTTACTATCTGACTATCTGTAAAAAGTGGGTAGGCGAATAGTGAGAGCTTGTGTGAGTGTGTGGCATGAGGGGTGTGTGTGAGTATGTGTGTGTTAAGTATTTGTTGTATTAACATGATTTCTTAAATTTAATGTATTATTATTACTGTCTATTATTTTTATTGTTGTTGTTATAATTATTTTGTTTTTGTTTTGTTTTATTTGACTGTATCTACTCTGCTATCCTATGTTTTTTGGACATGATCATGAGGACCCCCCACGAAAACGAGATGATACATCTCATGGGGTTTATCCTCCAATAAAATGTCTATAAATAAATAAATAAATGAATAATAATAAGGATTATCAATTACATAAATACAAATTAATAAAATCAATTCAATTGATGTGTGTATTGGCCTAAATCACACAGTCGTCTCAGATGAGTATACACAGTTGTTGATTTGCCAGATCCAATGGTGTAGGTTTGGTTCCAATCTTGGTGGGGACATTCACTACGACCTGAGTCTACACCCATTGACACGGGGTCCAGAGTTTCTCCCCCAGAATTTGTTGTGTAATCACACACTATATTTGCAATAGTGTGTTGCCTTCTATACTAAACTCAGCTGTAGACTGAATGAGAAGCAGTTAAGGATTTTTTCTAATAGTTAAAACAAAATCAATTGGATCAGAGCTTCTGAGTTTTGTGTTGCGTTCATTCTATTCTAAACCTAATCCAAATCTACATAATAGCCCTCACCTGAGGCTCTAACAGTTCAGGAACTGCTCTCGATACTTGAAATAAATCATGCTCTGATCTTTCAATTTCCTATAATAAATAAAAACAGAGGAGAAAATATTGAATTAGAATCTACAGTGAGTAGCTCACTACATTGTTTGACATATACGATCAATCTCTAAAAACAATTCATAGTCCCATGCATACCTACAAAATTCCAACCTCGCCTGATGCACTGAAGGGCCTGTTGCTTCTACCTCAACATTCCCTATATTGTTCTCTCTTGTTGGTTGAGTTTCCTATGTATGTTAACAGAAGATTAATCATCACAATTCATAATTTGCTATTACTTGTGCTTTCTCTTACTTACTTTCCAACTGTTAAAAAAGCTCCTGATATATTTTATCTTTTTTTGTGGAGGTGGCATTTTTTCTAAATTATATAAGAAGGTATAGACAATCAAAAACAGACATTCATATACATGAACTGCAGAATCATTTATATAACTTGGCCAATGTCAAAAGTTACATAGTATTTCTCAATACAATGAGTTAACAAGAGTTTGGCAATAAGTAACAGTGTGGATTTTTCTATATTTTCTTTTTTTTATTCCACTCTCTACCCAAAAAGGCAAGTAATGACTCACAAGGCTCTTAAGTATGCAAAATAAAAACTTAAATGACCTGTTGTGGTGTGTTTTGCGCACAACCAGCATGCATCGTTAACGCAATGGAAAATTTAGGTATCCGAGCTTTAATTTCGGGAGCGCTGGTTGCGCTTTGGGAAGAGTCAGGGGAGAGACATGTCAGAGACACAGGGGAGAAACGCGGGAGATACGAGGGAGACCCGCACTTGCAACATGGTTCTGTCTGCATATGGTCCGAGCTCAGTACCATGTTAGAGCTGTGCTTTCACTGAGCGCCGCGGCTGTCATTACAAAGCGGCAGCAGCTGCACCAGGACGTGCACATTCGAGTGCATCGCTTGAATGTGCTTAGAGCAAATAACAGCAAGTGCCCGCTGTCACACATTTCACAGAAATTACATTATCAGCAGATAAAGGTTGTAAATCGTGGATCCGTGGAATATTTTCATCCCTAGTTTATCCTGATTCACACAACACACCCACTTATACATTTTGGATAGTAAGAGCACAATAAGTATTTTTTCAGCCTTTCAACCAACCTGTTTCTTTATTGGAGCCAGTTCTGTTCTGTCTCTGTATGCCGTGTGAGCTCCTCGGAACATGAAACAGTGCGCTGACAGATTAGAAATAACGTAAGTACTTTGAATGGTAATAGATCTACAGTACTTTCCTCTGATTACTCACGTGCTACAACGCTCAGGGAACAAAAAAAAAACACTTGCTTCACGCTGGCTAACTTTTAAAAATTAAACAGTCGCTCAGTGCTTCAGTTTGGCGCTGAAGAAGACAGCCAATCACTGCAGAGAACGGAACGGGTCACGTGCTGCTGTTGCTCTGGAGGCGAGGAGGAGGCGCGACGTATGCACAAACGGAAGACATGTGTCCCGGACCGTCCGGGTCACGGGACATCATGTCATTTTGGTGGGGACTTTTTAGTCCTCACCAAATATTGGTGGGGACATGTCCCCATGGTCCCCACGCAAACCTACGCCCTTGGCCAGATCAGAGAATCCAACAATTTGGACTCAAGAAATGCAATAATAACAAATACATATGAGTCGTCTCTCCAAAGGGAGCAGGAAGACCAATGTCCATAAATGTTAACATTTATATTACTGTTCATAAATGTCCCCAAAATTAAATGTAACATTCTTCATATATTATTCATACATCTAAAAAAAAAACAACGCTGTTCAGTATCTTCCATATTGTTTGTGTTGTTGTAACAGTTGTGGTCCACATTATGTTCATGTTTAAATGAACATAATGTCAACTGTTTGTGGGCGGGCACTCGGAACCTCCCTCTGACCCCGAGGCTCCTCTTCAGGTGAATAAATAGAGGCTGGACATGAGTGTGATATCTGTGACTGCAGCAGTGAGCAACATGGAGCTGTCTGTGCTCTGCCTCCTGACGCTGGCCCTCGCCTTTGTGCCTCAACTCTCAGCGACAGCAGGTAAGTGACTATAAGGAACCAAGAATTGCTCATGTGCCACATCTAAAAACCTAGCTATAGATTTGTTTTTTATATCGTTATATTCTCAAAGTGTTTAATCCACTGTTTGTCAGCAATTCAGGGAATCATAGTTTTGAGTGTGCAAAATCTGCTTTACAAGTTGCATTATTATTATTATTATTAATATTAATATTGATATTATTATCATTAATATGGCTTCTAAAATGTAAAGGTCTTTACATCCATATCAGACAAACTGTGTTGAAATTTCAAGATCCTTCACTATCCCATACAGTGCCTTCAGAAAGTATTCATCCTTCATATCTTTTGTAAAAGACCAACACAAAGAGAATTCTGTGCACATCTCTCTATCTAGTGCACACAGTGGTACTTTGCACTGGTATTCCAATGTGGTTTTACTGCAAATGGCAAATAAACAGAATCTGGAATCTTGAATTAAAGTGAAAGACAATGTATGAACGTTTATACACCATATACCTATCCCCCCATACACACACACACCAGTAAAGGAGACATGAAGCTGAGGCTCCAGCCGACCACTGCTCCCAGTGCAGAGGGGATCAGTGGTTTTTAGTATACCCAGTGTTTCCTCAATACTAAAAACAACACAATAAAAAGTAAAACATTAAAATGTGTGACTTAAATGAAACTATCACAATACATAATAACAATAATAACACATAATAAAACTAAAACAATTTTTTTTTTTTTTTAATGATAAATGCTAATCAAAAGCTAATCTAAAAAGGTGTGTCTTCTGCTTTTAAAAGTATGAATGACGCAGTATGTGCACAGTTTAATGTCTGTCTAATGTCTTTTTCTAGTGCCTATACCGCGACCTGGGTGTCCCCCGTATAAATATCTATCACCCCAAGAACTGAGTGTCAGGTTGTGCCTGAAGGAGTGTTCCACAGACCGTGACTGTAAGGACAACAAGATCTGCTGTTTCGACGGCTGTTCCAACGTCTGTGTGCCTAGAAGGACAGGTACGTGTTTAACAAATAATAGCGTCATTTATTTATGATGTGTGAGTAAAAATGTACTACAGTAAATCTAACCAGGAGTCAAAGGATATTTTTGAGTACTCTTGACTCATGACTATAAGGACAGTTAAATAATAAAAAAAATGTTGTTTTATAATGATAATTAATTATAGTTTCAACAATAATAGTTAAAGTCATCACCGGCCTTATTCCACAAGAAAATGATAGTGACACTTCAGAGCAGCATGGACATAGATGGATGAAGAGGTCACTGTCATATTATGTAGAGTTACATGCATATTTCAGATTTTCAGCTAGGGTGAAACCAAACGTAGTAATGAATCAATATTTTGTGATATTTTGGACAACAATATAATTGAAGAAACATATCATTCCCTCTACCTCCAACAGTGAACATAGTTTAGGGAGTGCTATTGATGTCAACAGCTTGTTTTTTACAACCCAAAATGCAGGTCAGTTTAACATGAAAACCTGTTCGTCTTCATTGCTTTCCAGAAAGCACATTGAAAACCCTGAATGATTTGCACTCTCTAAATACAATTCATGATGTAATTATATTATAATTTACTTGTTTACTTGAACAGGACCTTCAGTGCCTTTGGTCAAAGATGGAGTCTGTCCCAAACCCACCTTGGTAATGGATCCCAGCGTGGTGAGGTGCCTGATAGACAGTGGCGTTCCAAGGATACCCCGGGGCCCCAGGCAAAAGAGTCTTTGGGGGCCCCGATACCGACCATATAACCACATAAAAAGGTTAATACTGCAGTAGATATAAATATATTATTTATTTGCATCATAAAGTTGAAACAGAATTGACAAAATACTAACAACAACAAAGATCAGCAGAACAACAATATTATGAAAACATAATTAACAACTAAACAATAAAGCTTATAGGTTGAGAACCTATAAGCTTTGCTTATAGGTTCTCAACTCTGTGACAATACTTCTTTGTAGAACTTGATCTAGAGCAGATTTTGTTTTTAACGTTATCTGGAGCTCATGCCAACTTTTCATCTTATTTATATGGGGTTTGGAATATTCATGCTCTTTTAAATGTGCAACAAGGTTTTTCCAGTTTTTAAGCCCTCCTTTAGTTAGAGCATTATTGTCCTTTTTGCCAAATATTTTGCAAGCAAAGCAAAAGACTGAATCGGTCGATTTTGAATATACTAGCCATGTTCGCTTTATTTTTTCACCATTTCTCATGACCATGTAATAATTTTCCTTTGTGAATCTCCGAGGATTTTGTTCATTGCTTTGAGGAAAAACAATATCCGTCACCTGAAGAGGACCTTTTTTCACCAGGGAACTCTTTTCACCATCATTAAGAACATCAGGCCACTGTCCAGGATCAGAAGATGTCAATCTTATTGGTGTTGCTTTTTCTTGGTCTGTGGATACCGTTTGAGCTGAAACAAATTTAAAAAACACATGAATTCTCAAAAGAAAAACACAATAACCATAAATAATCCTGATGTGATATCATTACTTGAACAAACACTATGTTTAGTCCCTTTTTACAGCCTTTACAATTACAATTGTTGCTAAAGATGGCTTGCTAAGTATGTCCATATTTACATTACTATTTATGTATTTTTAATTTACACATCTTCAAAATACAAACCAACTTAGATATTAATTTATTTTCAAGTATACCTCTTATATTTGTTTGAAATTATAGATATGGTAGATACTACAAAAGGCCATAGTGTGTAAAATTCAAGAATTTTTTCAAACTAAATATATTATTGCACTAATATCATACCTGGAGTGGGTGCTTGTGGTTCTGTTTGGTCCTCTTGGTCAATGGAGGTAGGCGACGAAATGTTGACAATTGCAGTATTGGATATAGCTGACTGCTGCTCACTGGAGAAAGCGCTGCTGTCCAGGACTGTAGAGCTTGAGGGGGCAGTAAACCTTGGCGTGGCAGTACTTGGGGCTGTAGTAGTGTGTGTAGCGGCAGACTGAGCTTAAAGATAAGACAGTCATTAGACAGTCACTCACCGCTATCATGCTTTCTTTTCTTGTCTTCCTCTTTTTTGCGCTTTCGTTTATTGCTTCCAGAAGGATAACTTCTCTTCATTTGGTCGGACAACTTTGTTTTGCTTTGGGAGAAATGGCACGCTGCCTGCACGCTCCGCTCACCTCACCTCTGTCACTGACACGTGGGGGGAGGGGCGAGAGGAGCGGGGCCCTATCAGGGGATTTGAGACGGGCGGTCAAATTGCAACTCGTCACTGCAGGTACCTGTTGTGGCCTGTACAAGTCGACCGCTTGTGTCAAATCAGTCGGCCCTCGGGGGCCCCTGCCGGTTTGGGGGCCCCAGGCAGCTGCCTGCCTTGCCTGTTGGCACGGGACGCCTCTGCTGATAGAGTGTACCTCGGACTGGGAATGTCCTGAGGATAAGAAGTGCTGTAAAAACGCCTGTGGGCACATTGGCATCTGTGTGACGCCAAAAAAAGGTATATGTGTAGTTTTGTATTTTTTCTTTAAACATATCAGACAGCTTGACAATGCATTCACACTGTATTGACTAAATAAAATGCCAGTATTTGCAGTACCCAAAAAGGGATTCTGCCCAACTCCAGAGGGTTTTGGGATCTGTGTTGATCACTGCTCCACTGACCATGATTGTGAGAAGAACCTGAAATGCTGCTCTAACAACTGTGGAAAAACCTGTGTGGAGCCACTCATGAAGGGTAAGTAAGCAGAGACGCCCACACTTCCCTATCCACACACACTTCCTCCAGCTCATCTGGGACCCCAAGGTGTTCCCAGGCCAGCTGAGAGACATAGTATCTCCAGCGTGTCCAGAGTCTTTCCCGGGGTCTCCTCCCGTGGTCTCCTCCCGGGGTCTCCTCCCGGGGTCTCCTCCCGGGGTCTCCTCCCGGGGTCTCCTCCCAGTGGGATATGGAGGGTATCCAGGAGTTAATTTGGAAATTATGAATGCTAATGAAAAAAGGGTTTGCCCCCACTTATCATTAGTGGCTGTGCTGTGTGGTTTTTTTATCCAATCTATGACTGTCAAAAGTAAAATATTCGTGAGCATTTCTTGACCAAACATAAACTATATCACAATAACTGACATTACTAGTACCCCACAGTGGGGAAATTTCAGTGGTCTAAAAAGCAAATAACCAGAGCAGAAATAGACTTTGGATCATGGTACATATAGACACAGAGATACATACTGTAGGTGAAGTACATTAGGGCGGGGCAGACAGCCAGTACCAAATAACTAAGAATCCACAACATGACAAGTGTAAGTTTTGAGAATACCTAATATATACATTTGAATATAAATAATATAGCGACAGTAGCTCAGTTGGTAGAGCAGTGGCCTTTGGGCCTGGAGGTCGTGAGTTCGATTCCCACCATGGGACCTACTCCAACTGCTCCCACTGATGACTGCTGTCGTTGTGTCCTTGGGCAAGACACTTAACCCCACGTTGCCTGAAGCCCCCGCTGAAAGATCAAGGCTTCCTGTGGACCCACCCCCTGCAGAAGATCAGCAAGGGACTGGTGCTATGAGCATTGGGTGGCAGCTCTCATTGCCACCCCCCCGACCCAGAAATGGACTAATAAAGGGGTTGAAAATGAAATGAAATGAAATGAAATAATATAATTATGGTATGCCATTTGAAAATTAAGAAGTTCTTTTTATTTTCACAGAAAGGAAAAAGGGAATCTGCCCTAAGCCAATCCCTCATTTCGCCGAATGTGATGCTACATGTGATAATCACAACAAGTGTGAAGGCGATCTTCTCTGCTGCTACAGCGGCTGTGGAATGGAGTGTCTGGAACCTGTCAGGAAGATCACCGTAGGATGGTACAGTAATGTTAAAATGGAGGGAGTATCATGAAGCTGTATGTGGTATATCTCCTATTTTAACAGTTGTAGTTCCTCAGACTTGTCTCATCTGTTTTGATTCTGAACATTTTCATATTAATTGTCAATGGCCAATTCAATTTTGTTCAACCACAAAGAAGAGAAAAAAGGACTAAATAAAAAATGTCTGTCTGACCATCTTTTGTTTGTTGAATCATTGTGTCTGAAAAAAAAGTCAATTACTTTTCTTCTCACTATGAAAACATAACATTGCACTGCTCTCTAGTGGTAGTTCTGGAAGTTGCAGTAGTCGCCTGACTATCGTACAGATGTTATTATTATAGATCCATGGATGCACCACATGGATTTTTAAAAAATGCACCAGCACCAAACATATAACGTGTTTCCATGTTTTCACAGTCAATACATTTCGTAAATAGATCAAATAACTATGCATCAATAACGTTTCAACAAATAATAAATGCATTTTAAGAAATCAGCCTACATAGCTAACTCTATCACATTTACATGTTGAACCACTCATGTTGATTATGTGCACTGTCCCAATTCAAATTAAAAAAAAGAAAAAAGTGAGGGGATATTAACTCAGTGCTCCGGCACTGTCTAGAATACCCTTCAATCTCAACTAGTGAAATAATTTGTGTACAATTATGAGACAAATCATTATCATTATATTATCGTCAGTTTCAGTCTTTCTAAAACAAAGATTAGGGTAAATATGATTAAAGAACAGAAATAAAGCCACAAGCAGCTATGAACAGCCTTGCCTTTGCCAAATGTAGAAAATGGTCCTTTGTCTCCCTATGTTTATTGCCCCTATGGCTGACTGTGAGACGGCATTACACCCTCTATCTATTGCCAAAGGTGAGGTGCTATTGCGCACATTTTCCCTTTCACATTTCACTTGTTATGGCATTAAAAGGAATGTGGCCAAAAATAAACACTTTGTACACTATTTTTGTCAGTGTACTGTGATGGCCACTCGTTCAACTCAGAAAAACCTTTGCATTTATCATCAGTCCATAATGTAATACATACTGTCATACTGAGCCTCCTAATGAGCCTTTCTGAGAGCTTCTGTCCCCCTTAGTTCACATACATGAAGCTTGAGGTGTGCACTTTCAAATCTGTTTCCAAAAGTCTGTCTACCACAGTCAAGCACCTTAACCACATGATGGACATGGTTGTCGGCTGACCAGTTCACCAGAGTTAGGTCACAAGTTCAAACACCTTCATGAACCATACAATATATTTCACGTATACAGGATTTTTTTTATTTGGTGCTTGGTTTTCTTTTGACATCAGTTCACTTGTGGTTCGGGCATTCAGAACAACCGCTGCTGCGTTCTTCAGCTTCCTTCTTCTAGCTGCCTTTTAAGCCTGTGCGTTAAATACGTACTGTAAATATTAACGGACATAGTCTCTGTGGGAGCTGTGCTGGAGAGAAGGATGAAGGCTCTAATGCAGGACATTCCGGGTAACTCCAGACACCCTCTGCATGACTCTATGGCCGCTCAGAGGAGTAATCGTATCAACAGCCTATCACTGCGCTGCCGAACGGAACGTTTCAAGAGATCCTTTGTTCCTACGGCTGTCAGACTGTACAACAAACCTGGATGAGTCTTCTGCTGCTCGACACCCCAATTTCTTCTTCGGGGATCAATAAAGTATCTTTCTATCTATCTATTTATTTACCTAAAAGTTGTTCACATGTTCTGTGAATCTAAATGTATGGGGTCATGTACAAACCCACGGAGGCCATCCTTTACACAGGATGCACAATCTATAGACTCACATAAACAGCCATATTGTTTGAGTTCAATCAAACAAACAAGTGACAAATGACAAACCTTCAGTCCATGTCTTTTCATGCTGTCACTTTTTAAGGAGATAAGTAACGACTGTGTATCTAAACAGAACTGATAGTTAGTGCACAGAGATTGTAGATTTTGTATTTATATTTTTAAGTCAGATAAAGGTGATTATGGCTGATTGTGCCTGAGAGCTGATGGTTGAGAATATAATAATTCTTAATAAGCGATTTACATATACCACTGCAGTGCCTTGCAATGGCACTGTACAAATAGTCATGTTTCGAGTCGACCACAAACATGAAGATAATTTGGATTTTTTACTAGATCACAACAAAGTATCACAGGAACAGGAGGAACCCAAGAGCACGACAAGACACAGCTAAAAATCAATCATTTATTGATAGCGAGGGTTGGGATGGGGGGTCCAGGGGTGCAGAGGCTGAGTTCAGAGGTGCAGGTAGGTGTTGGGGCAGTAGGATCCTGGGGTGCAGAGGTGTGGGTGCAGGTAGGTATTGGTGGAAGTAAGCATCGGGGCTGGGTCCAGAGGTGAACTGACAACTAGCATGTAGTGATATGAGAGCCGAGTTTCAATCAATCAATTTATTTATTCCAAACCTGCACATACATTCTTCTTGTGAAAATAATATGGTTTGAAAGAGCTTCTTAAATTGTAGGCGAGGCGGTGAGTGAGTGCAGCTGGTGAAGGCCGTTCCCAGATTGATACACGCACGTGCGCACACACACACACACACACACACACGTTTTTGTTACCTGGTGGGTCCCTTTGACAGGGCCGTTCAGAATGGGACCCATAGACATAATCTTTTTTTACTGGGACTACTTTAAGTAATACAAAACAGTCAATAGAAAACAAACAACTCTTTTAAAGGAATTTTATTTTAGATTTTTTTTTCGAATTGCAGTGATTCTATTTTTGACATAGAATTTAATGCCACTCCATGTCCGATGTCTAAGGTCATCTGGTGAGGCATTAATGCAGGCCAGGCAGTGAGACTTCCCAGGGACTTTTCCAGTCTGTATGAAAGGTGTCATGGTCTTCTCCACAGCCTTCACCTCAGATGCAGACCATGGCTTTCTTACACGTTCTAGGGAGAGAAATAAAAATATATTAGCAATATACACTCCCAGGGTTAGGACCAAGCAGCCTGGCTGTAATCCCCCACCTGGTACACTTACCAGAAGGGGCACTGCCACTACCATGGGGTGCATCTGGATGAATGGTTGAAGGTTCTCCGCTTGAAGTTTCTTTTAGCCCGTCCGTTTGTGAGAGGATCTCTACTGCTCTCCCTGTCGCACAGAAAATAAAAATACAAGTGGCCTTTAGGGGAAAAAAATCATACATATTTTTATAAAATCAAGAATTACCTTCAGGCTCAATTTGTATCTGGTCGAGGCTCTTTCCTTCGAATTCCGTCACTCTTCCCTGCTCCATGGCCATCAACACTTTGCTGATTTTGGCCAGCTCCAGTGTCCCCTCTGGTAGTCTGTAATATTGTCTGTGGATGCGAATGTCATGGCCGAGGAAGTTGGCTAGTATGTCCATTTCATTCTCTTTCATATTGAGAACTGTAGACATAGTAGCTATGTGCTTTCTAAGTTTGGTTGAGGATAGCATCTCTGGATGCACCGCACCACATTCTTTGGCTACCTGCCGTAGGGAGTCTGATCCCCTGATGTGGGTGTCTGCGCCCGGGCGGGAGAAGAAGTATGGGTTATGGTCAGAGATGGAACAGGCCCTTCTGTTCTCCACCAGCACCTCCATCGAAGCAATCATTTCAGGAGTCAAAAGAACCGGCACTCTCCGACTTCTTTTCCCTTTAATTTCAATGCGTTGAAAATGCTGACACAGCTTTTTCTCAAGTTCGGACAGTCCCAGAGCAATGTCAGAATGGATCCCAGTCTTACTTCTTAAGGTAAACGCTGTCAGTGGCATCTTTGAAACCTCACCTTCCCTTCTTCGATTGAAAATAATGACCTCACAACAGGGACGTGCAGTCAGGGGAGGCAGGGGAGGCAGAGCCTCACCTGCCATTATTGGAAACTAATAATTATTTTAGTTTAAATATATAATTTATATCCACTGTCCTATGCTTTTAATGTATATTCGGCACGGTTCCCATCAGTTTTGATCATTTCTGAAGTCAAAATCGCCGAAATCCCGTTATTCCTATTCAAAGAGACGAGGTGAGGCAGCGCTCCTGCGTGCCTCACCCCAGACCGCTCCCTCACAGTGTGTGTGTGTGTGTCTGAGTGCACTCAGCTCGTGCAGTTGATATATCACCGTTTGTTTCAAATATCCTGCTTTAAAAACATTTTTTAAACTCCTCTTAGTGTTTAGTAGTGTATTGCACGTATGTGTGTACAATTTATATTTAGTTTAAGTCTTTTGATCGTAGATGAACACACAAGGAAAAAGCTTGGCGTGAGGCAGGCGGTATCTGTGCCTCACCGCTAGGGGTGATAGTGAGCATAAAGTTCATACCAGAGTTGCTAACAAACAATCAGCCCAAAATGCTATTTCTTTTGCTGGAAAATGGATGATTTGAATGAAGATTTTTTTTCTCAATTGGACTTTCAAACAAAGAAAGAATTAATATAGACTGGGAGACCACCACTGGACTTACGAGGTTAGTCCGGCTGCGGGGGAGGAGTTTGTTAATCTGTGTTTTATGTTGAACATTGACAGATACCGGCAAAGTAGTGCTTTTCCGAAAAAACACTGATTCAAACACTGCTCAAGAGTTCTGCAACTTGTTTAAATTATTGTTTATGTTCCTCGCGTCTCTCTCTCCTCGCGTCTCTCTCTCCTCGCGTCTCTCTCTCCTCGCGTCTCCGTCTCTCTCTGCTCCTCGCGTCTCCGTCTCTCTGCTCCTCTCTGTCTCTCTCTGCTCCTCGCGTCTCCGTCTCTCTGCTCCTCTCTGTCTCTCTCTGCTCCTCTCTCCTCGCGTCTCTCTCTCCTCGCGTCTCTCGCACCTGCGCTTCTTAAAGATGTTGTTTGATGCGGAGCAGAGTCAGCAGCTAGATTTGTTGTGAGATTATTAAAAGAAGCTGGTTCTCTTATCTTTACAGTATATAAAGTTTGTGGATGTCATTGCATTGGTGATTAAATGCTATTTTATTTGAATAATGATTGTAAATCTGACTTTTAAAGTCAGTGCCTCCCCAATCACAAACCTTG